ATTAATTCCTGGTACTCATTTCTGTTAGAGGCTGAGTCGACCTCAAGGCCATAGTGCGGCCGGAAGGATTAGGTCAATTGAAAAATATCCAATGACCTCATCAGGACGTGAACCTGCGACCTTCCGGTTTGTAGCATAGTGCCTCAACCAACTACGCTACCTCATGCCCCCATAGACGAAGTATGACTACTCTTATATATTTCTATTTATTGATGTTGAAGATAACAGATATTTATCTAATGTAATAAGTACACTTGACTTCCAATCAAAATGTGTGCAATAACAAACTGAATAATTATAATAACAGTAATAATATCAGTAACAACCATAGAACTATCAACAGTTACTGTAATACTAACAGTACTATTATAAAAAGAGAAACTGAAGATTGGGGAAAAAAAGTTCACCATTTGGATTAAGATTTTACTTAAAAAGATTNACACGGGAACTTATGAAGTATAGTATGCCATAATAAATCAAACCAACTTACAGGACTGCTCCTGTGAAAGATAGTTTGTGATTAATAACATTGACGATCCAGTCAACAAGTCTGAAGTAGATACCAGAAGCAAGGACATCCCTAGCATTTTCAGCTTCCACCTGTGTGTGCCTTAGTCTCACTGCAGTTCCTTTCTGAATTGCACAGTAGTTGATAATAGCCCATGAAAATTTCTTCTCATCCACTCTCAACAGTCGGGCCACTGCAATTTTAAGTATTAGCATTACTTTGCAAACTTTTTTAAATACTCATAAATGTAAGTTGAATTTAATCTTACTTACTTACTCATGGAGCTGAGCCCTTCTTGAGGAGCCGCGAATTCTGCAGCTACTCTAGAATTTCCCAGCATTGTATGGAACCCGGAGGTTCATCACCGTGTTCACAAGAGCCCTCAAACTGGTCCCTATCCTGAGCCAGAGNCTATCCAATCCATACCATCCAATCCTCTCTCTCTAAGATCCATTCTAACATGTCCATTTACCTACGCCTTGGTCTTCCCTGTGGTCTCTTTCCTTCTGGCTTTCCCGCCAATATCCTATACACATTCATCCTCTCTCCCATTCGTGCTACATGACCTGCCCACCTCATCCTCCTTGACTTGATAATTCTAATTATACTTGGAGAAGAGTACAAGTTATGAAGCTCCTCATTATGCAGTTTTCTCCAACCTCCTGTTACTTCATCTGTCGTCGGTCCAAATATTCTCCTCAACACCCAGTTCTCAAACACCCTCAGTCTATGTTCCTCCCTTAATGTCAGAGACCAAGTTTCACACCCATACAGATTAATTTAATCTACATGCTCTATTATTGTTCCAAACTATGTGGGAAAATCAGAAATTTTGATGCCTTAATAAATTTAATCCAAGTTAAAGTTTCTTTTTTTATTCAAGACATATCCTAAATGAGTGTCTGGCTTGAGAGTTCTTTGTGATGGCTGGCAATGACCATGTTGGAATGAACACACAGACTCACAGACATGTTCACACACTCCCACATTCACCATATGCATGCTATGAAGAAACATCTCTTCACCTTTTGCAGCTGCTTCTGGATTTTCTATTTCTACTTCTTTGTCCTGTTCCTGCTTGAACCGGATTTCCCCTAGATTGAGAATGGAAGCAATCAGACAGTATAGAGTCTCCAGTTGATTTTCTTGGAAACCAAGGTCAAGCAAATGCTGTTCCAGCTCCTGGAACTTCTCCACGTTTCCTGTGGGATTCTCTCTAACTCCCGCACCATTTGTATTACTGCTGTCTACTGGCAGTATGCGGAGATACTGGTACCTGCGACCAGCATCTAGTTCGTAGGTTGTAAGACGACCATTGGCTTCCATGGCATCATAAAAGTAGTAAAAGATATGAAAGTTGGCTTGTTGCCTGTAACAAAGATAAATTTTTTCAGTAATTATGCAAATCCATTCTTTGACAACCAGATTTTACTGTCTGCCATTATATTAGAAATTTGAATATTACCGTCTTCTGGGATGTGATGTCGTCTAGTCTGATAAATTTTTATCACCATTTCAGAGAAGTTTCCTTCCTTGAGCTTCAGGGTCAAAGCGTGAGAAGAGGAAACAGGGTTCTCCAAAATGTTAGTAACAATCTATCACTGCATGATGTTACATCCCAAAGGACAGTAATTATCTTAGTTAGTTAGTTAGTTATTGGAGAGGGTGGGTTTCCCCATGCACTTAGACCAGTATTGGTCCATTGTGCTTCCCTCTATGATATTCTACCAGTCTCTATACCCTACCGATATTCGTGCGTACCATCAGACCCGACCGAGCCAGCGAGTTCGACCTCTACTGGCTTGGCGGTATCTATAATTCCTTCCCCATCTATCAGAGGCGTTAGGGACTACTGTTGGGCGGGAAATGACCTTGAATTTGGCTCAGTGACCTCCTTTGGAGATATGAGGTTCTTTCACATGCCGTAAAGCTACGACACGGGACCCACGGCTTAAAGTCCCTCCCAGAGGACTTGTTCCCTGAAATTTTCCGCCCTTAAAAATTCCACGACCTCCGCCGGGTGTGAACCTGCGTACCACGAGTCATGAGGTGGGAACATTACCTCTAGACTACGGAGGCCGCCAGTAATTATCTTAGTACATGTTTTTGTAGTGATAGGAATTGTGTTACTGTGTTTAAGAAATTTCATTATATTTTGGATAAATTTGTGATAAGTGTATTTTGTATCTCTTTTTCATATTTATTCAAGCAATAAAGAAATTTCCTGTTCTTTTTGTATTTATTTCTAGTTGGTCTTTTTTCTATTAGCAGGTATGTATGGGCATGTTGGGGGCACATGGTAGGATAGTTTGTTGAGGCAGCATGCTACAAGCCGGAAGGTCGTGGGTTCAAGTTCCAATGAGGTCAGTGGATTTTTTCAATTGACTTAATCCTTCCAGCCGCACTATGGCCCTGTGGTCTATTCAANTGCCGGAAGGTCGTGTGTTCAAGTTCCAATGAGGTCATTGGATTTTCTCAATTGACTTAATCGTTCCAGCCGCACTATGGCCCTGTGGTCTAATCAGCCTCTAACCGAAATGAGTACCAGAAATCTTCCTGGGGGTAAAGGGTGGCAGGCACATAAGGCTGACAACCTTACCACCATCTGTGAACCGATTGTCTAGAAAATGTGGGAGCCTCGATCTCTCACAAACCTATGGGCCTCCACGGCCTGTTACAGGGATACCTTTACTTTTTACTTACTTTATGTGTGGGCATGTCTGTCAGGTGAAGTGGAGTGATGATTTTTTTACTCAAACTCTGAAACTTTATGATGAAGAGAAATATAGAGACTGTTTAATGACTTCCCCCATTTCTCTTGGTATGACCAGAATGTGGCATCTCACACTATGCTGAATACTTACTTGTCTTGGCAAGTGACTCGCCATTTCTCCAGTTGGTACAGCCAGAATACAGCACTGCCAACTTTTCCAGTCTGTGTGAAGATGATCTCAAGTTGCAGCACATGTCGTGTTGAATTTGGATTGGATGGCGTAGCAGCATTGCCCAGTGCATGAATGATGTTCATTGCTTTACCCACATTGTCACAAGTTTTGTTCTGACCCTATGAAAGATATTTACTGTATTATTTAGATTTAACTTTGTAAGAAATTCTACACTTCCATCAAGGTGATAAAATTATTTGGATATGAAGAATGAAAATCTCATTGAAACTGACTCCACAGTACTGAGTATTTCTCGAGATGCTTGTATCTGTACTTTTAAATGATAATGTCTTCTTACGAAAAATGTATTTTGTCATCACATATAGCACAACACAATGACGGTCAGCTTCCATGATGTTTTAATCTTGTTGTCATTTGTAAAATTAACTGAAAATTATAAATTATAATATTGATAGTGATGTACATTATATCTTATATTCTCTGAGTTTACCATAACATTTTCCATTTTTATGGAAATCAATGTCTTACCACTGTTCTTATACAAACCTTACACTGGATGCTACCCTAAACCTCTTGAATCCAGTTCAGATCTTCAGAATCTGTTTTCCTAAGATCATGTCTAGATCTCCCAAGCAGTCTTTTCCCTCAGCATATTGAAATGAAGTTATTATGTACATATATAGTTCCCCTGTGAGTGCTTCATAAATCATGCATGATTTTATGATGTGAACAGTATTAGAACCTGGTAAATTAACGCACATATAATGCTTCAAATTTGTATTCTTGGAGGTGTTTGGTTTGAATCTTGGCCTGTTGAGGAAAGGCAAGAGACCAACTGAGAGACCACCACCCCAGAATTTCCAGCTGCGTATTTATTCATGCCCCATCACTAGAGTGCAGGACAAAAGCATGGTACATCATTTGGAACAGTGACATAGTTCAGCCATTTGGAAATGATAGTAACAAATCCAATGAATAAATTAAGAACAGATTAAATTTGGGAGATACCTGCTACCATTCAGTACTGAATCACATGCCTTTCATCTTCTACTTGACAATGTATTAATTGTAATATAGATACACAAAACAACAATTTTATCTTTTTACTGGTATGAAATTTGGTCTTTCAACATTAGATTGAAGATATTTCATACTAGGGAGCTGAGCGATGTATTTGGACTGAAGTGGAAGGATATAACAGGAGCCTAGAGAAATTTGTATAATGAGAAATTTCAGCATTTGTAGAACTCTTCTTCAGATATGTCTACGGCGATTCAAAAGAATGGGATTGAAGAGAGCAGGATATGCGTTGCTAGGCAACGACAGTGAGACAAACAACTAGACAACGGCCGTTACTAGGCAACGACCCATAAACAGCAACAGAGGGACGGTGTTTCCTTTGCAGTCCATCCTGAGTTGTTATAAACAGGACATTTAGTGAGGGTTCAGTGAGTTTAGTTGAGTTAGTTGGTTGGTGAGTGACTGAGATAGTCAGTCAGTTAGTGAGGTAGTATCTCGTCGATAACCGTTGGGGGTTCAGTTATTGTGAGCTGTTTCTGTGAGAAGCTGGTAGCTGAGGCCGGGGAGAGTTGGGAACCAAGAGCAAAAAGAACATATGTCGTTAGAAGCCGCTATTGAGCAACGGCTACTGAACAAGGGTTTGTTGACACCAGTGTGTGTGTGTAATAGTGAATTGTAAAGTGTAGTCACGCGCTGAATCAAAGAATCCGATAAATCCTGTCATCAATCCGAAACCCGTCTATATCACGCTCATACACGTGACAGTATTAACAAGGACGAAGATTCCTTCCTTGTAGGACGTGATATTTTATAATCCGTTGAAAGTTTCGAAGAAACATGTCACCTCCATACGCTGAAGATTGAGGCTGCATGTTCCCCCGAATGATCTGTTGACTTTAGACGAATTACGCGGCTTTATATCTCAGACCGTAAGTAAAAGTAAAGCTATCCCTGTAGCAGGCCGTGAAGGCCCATGGGGTTGCGAGACATCGAGGCTCCCACATTTTCTCGAAAATCGGCTCAAAGATGACGGTAAGGTTGTCAGCCTTACGCGCCAGCTAGAACTCTTAATAATCGCCTTTGTTAGAACCTCAAATTCTACATTAACTAGGATAAGAGGGTGTGAACTGGTAGGCTCTGGCCTCAAGATAATGACAAGTGGCGGGCTCTTGTGTGCACGGTAATAAACCTTGCGTTCCACTAACGGCAGTGTTCCCTGTGGTTAATGGAATATTCAGTTCTCGAGAAGGGCTCATTTCGGGATGCAGTGTACTGTTACCTGTCCAAGGAACAAGAGGTGTCGCAGCAAATGCAGCATGTTCGTTGTTTTGCCAGAGAGTGTCTCCCCTGCCAAGAGGATATACTGTGGCTCCTGATGGTGCAGCATGTCCTGGTAGGCTCGGTCCGCCACCGAGAAGATGTGTGGTGCATTATCCGACCTGTCTTTGAAGCGGTACTTGGCATGGAACTGTAAACGTAGTGTATAGCATTAAATGTGAGTAACAGCTCGGGAGTTCAGGCCACGTCGAGCAGACTTAAATACATTTATGATTGTAAGTGAAAGAACAAGTGACACTTTTCTGTCCTGAAGTTAGAGGCAACAGGTTTTTACGAAACATTGATACCTATTCATCAAACTGTGCTGCGGAATATACCAGAATATAACTATTTCCATTTTTGTCGCCTTATGAATCTCAAATCTCACAGCTACGGGAACTATTTTATCGAATTCTTTTAATAGAATTTTTAACTAGCGCATTGATATGTGTGACGGTTACAAACCAGTGTAGGATGCACCCGTACCTCGTCACCTATTCATCAAACTGTGCTGCGGAATATACCAGAATATAACTATTTCCATTTTTGTCGCCTTATGAATCTCAAATCTCACAGCTACGGGAACTATTTTATCGAATTCTTTTAATAGAATTTTTAACTAGCGCATTGATATGTGTGACGGTTACAAACCAGTGTAGGATGCACCCGTACCTCGTCACTGTAAATGGGCTGCTGCTCGTTGGATGTGAGCACAAGCAACACATCACCGACAAAGGTGTGATAATTCCCTTGCTTGAGGCGTTCGTGCAGTTCCGTAAGAATGACGTCCTCATCTAGTTTCTCCATTGCCGCCAGGTCTTCCAGATGCATCACTTCCTGTTCTGGTGAGAGCCCTGTTTTCAAGCACCCGTTCCTCACAGCAACTTCCGTTTGGCGAGTAGATTTCCCTTTATTAGCGAAATCTTCTGCTAGTATCTTCAGTTCAGTCGACAACTGTGTGAAAAACATATGCCTAAATTCGCTGTTGAGATATGTCTCATCTGAAATATATATATTGAAGTTGTATAGTTTGTGCCTTATAGGTATAATTCTGTCATCCAACGTTAACATCTTACGGGATTCCATACTTCCTGTATAGTCATCTAAAGATTTGTACTATATAGCGGAGTCCCCTTCCGACCAGACTGCAAGTTGACGCTACTGCATTTACTTAGCTACAACAGAAAGCTGTCCCTCTTAGGCTAACTGCAACTGAGGGATGTTGTCACATAAACAAATTAGTCCCTTCTACCATCACATCCCGAATTTGTTCTCGCTCCGGGCCACCGAGGTTTAATCTTCAGTTCTCTTCGAACTCTTAGCTTAGTTTTGATAAAATTGAGAAAAGGCGATAGGATGTAAAGGAGAATGAAAGGATTTTGTTAATTTTCAGACTTTAGAACAGGCATGTCAAACTCAACTTGTACAGAGGGCTACCTCAGCCCTATAAATAATAGTCCAGGGCCGCACTTCAAAATAGAAATATACATTAGATTTTGCTACTAGGAAATTTAATTCTATTTATTATTTAGGAATAATTTCAATATAATTACCTAAAGTCACATATCTTACAGTTTTAAAAAGCAATAGAATGATATTTTTGACAAGTATCAAACAACTTTTCAATATGTAAAAAGATAGATTACACAAGGAATTGTGTTAGAAATAGCAAAACTTTGAATTTCCTGCAGCCTGCTAATTTATGTCTGCGTGAGACGTCTTGTCTTCTGGTCTGTTGGAAATTTGTCTTTACAAAAAAATATTTTACTAAAATTGTAATATTGATTTTAATATCAACTAGCTCTTAAAGTTGAGGGGCCGCACTTAGTGGCTATGGGGGCCGCATGTTTGGCTCGGCTGCTTTAAAAGGTGATGGAAGGGATAAAATGCATTGTGAATCATATTTTATTTCTCTAAATAGAGAAACGCAGTGATTGGTATAGTTGTATATGCATTTGGGAAGAATTTCTGACCCTTATTGAGGAGGAAATTAAATACAAAGAACAGGAATTATGACAGCTATCGAAAATGAGTACTATTAAATAAAGAGAGATTCGCATGCATAACAATTGAGTGTAAGACTGGACTACGTACGTGAAAGTCATTTTCAGGAACTGCAGCGAGGAACGGATGTTCCAGCAACTCCATGATATAGGGCCTGTGCTCAGGATTCTTTTCAAGGCATCTGCAATCACATATTCATGTTACATCTTGATAGAAACTTTAATGATGTATGTGCACGATTTTAAATAGATGTCATCTCTATTTTGGTACATTATAAACTAATTTCAAGAGGTAAAAAAAAAGTAAAGCTATCCCTGTAACAGGCCGTGAAGGCCCATATGGTTGTGAGACGTTAAGGGTCCCACATTATCTAGACAATCGGCTCAAAGATGGCGGTAAAGTTGTCAGCCTTACGCGCCGGCCGTGCTTCACTCCCCAGGAAAATTATTTAATTAATTCCTGGTACTCATTTCTGTTAGAGGCTGAGTAAACCCCAGGGCCTAGTGCGGCCGGAAGGATTAGGTCAATTGAAAAAAATCCAATGACCTCATCGGACCTTGAACACGCGACCTTCCGGCTTGTAGCATAAGTTATAATATTGTTAAAGCGAATTGCAGGGTCTCTACAAAAGGTCTGACACATTTTGATCATTAATAATTCGGAAAATAACGAAGATAGAAATAAACTGGTTACATTGTTGGATTGAGAAACTCAAAAAGTTTTGTGTCTATTGTTAATAAAGTTGTACATGTGCTCCATTTGTTGCACGTAAAATATCAAGACGATATTCGATTTCTTGCCAGGTTCGGGCAAGCATACCGACATCCACAGTGGCTATTGCGTCTCTTACTCTGGTTTTTAATTGATCGATGTCTCTCACCTGCCTCTTATAAACAATGTCTTTGACATATCCCCAGAGGAAAAAGTCTAGTGGGGTTATGTCAGGTGATCTTGGGGGCCAAGAAATTGGATTATATATAGATTGGAATATAGATTTGTGGGTTATTCAAGAACGCTAGAAATACCTGAGGATTTAGAAGAAGGAGATCGCAGCTGTTATGAACATATTTTCCAGGTATTAATCAGGAGAGATTGATGGAAACTACGAAAATGATTGTTAGGGTTAGCTTATATAAGATAGTTAAACCGGACATCCAGAAAATACAAATTCAGAGCGTCATCAATTCATCAACCTGGTCTCGAAACGAAATGCAAAAGACATCAATTCGATCAATAGTTTTTCATTTTTTTCTGTGTCATGATGTGCACTTGGTGAGGATCCTAAACCCAACACCGCAAAAGGTGGTTCAAGTATTGACGTGTGCGTCTAACAGGCGTCGAGTCGAAACTCAAGTGGACCATAATTTTTGTGACATGGATTTTGTAATTTTCCTCATACATTTCAGCGAAGGATAGGATAGGTCACTACCGTCTCCTTCCAAGTCCCATGGAACTAATCAAAATTGATCATTGTCATACTGGATGCTAAATAACCTTAGTAGTTTGTGCGGTTCGTTAAGTAACCATTTATTCGTTCACCATTAATACCAGTGTGTGCAGCAGTGTCGTCAAGTACTGGGCTACACACGGCCACGCTCCTGTCCGTACTCACTCTGTGATGAAGTCATTGTATTGCTGTGACCAGTTGGCAGGGCGGTATAGACGGGGTGGGGGGTTCTTGACGATCTGAAACAAGGCCCTGGTGGGGTGCATGTCCTGGTACGGTGCCTTCCCGTCACCCAACTCAATCGCTGTTATACCTACAAAAAAGCGTAAAGCATCACGAAAAACAACTCCATGACCTGTAGTCCTCAAGCGGACTGTACAGACCGAGCAACCGCCGCTTGTCGGTGAAGTTAGTGCCAACTTTAGCGGATAGAGGGTGTCGCCTGGTCAGTGTAACGGATCCCCACGGCCGTTTATTTCGGTTTTCAAGACCGGAGCCGCTATTTCCTTGAAATAGCTCCTCAAATATCCTCACGAGGCTGAGTTTACCCCGTTACAGACCCAGTGCTTCTCAGAAAATCTGGTATCGCCGGGAATCGAACCCGGGACCTCTGGATCTGTATCCAGGAACTCTGACCACTAGGGCACAGAGAAAGCATCACGAGCATGGAGAAAATCACGCAACCACCTTTATAATTTATACTCTTTATCAAATAAGGATGATCAAATGAAGGTGGATACGGCGTATGGACCAATACAGCTCGGTCAGTAGCCATACCGCCGACGGGCTGGCAGGTAGGATAGATTTTGCTTCAGAATTCTTCTGGGACCCATCCTGCCATTTATACAGTGGGTATCAGGGACTGTTTCTACGGGATAAATCAGCCCAAACGTGAAGTTCACTTTTTATTTGGATCTTTTTCGAGATCTAGATTGTATGGAGTTTTACGCCCATGCCCTCTTATGCCTTAATGATGTGATATCTAGTTACAGGATCAACTTTACCTTTGTCATTATTTCATACGGGCATTTCGAACATACGTATATATAACTTAAATTAAATTTTTACCTATGTATGTAAAGGTAAAGGTATCCTTGTAATAGGCCGTGGAGGCCCATAGGTTTGTGAGACGTCGAGGCTTCCATATTTTCTAGACAATCGGCTCACAGACGGCGGTAACGTTGTCAGCCTTACACATCGGCCGCACTTTAACCACCAGGAAGATTCCTGATATTCATTTCTATTAGAGACTGGGTCGATCCCAGGGTCATAGTGCGGCTGGAAGGATAAGGGGAATTTAAAAACCCACCTCATCGGGACTTGAACCCGCGACCTTCCGGCTTGTAGCATAGTGCCTCAACCAACTATGCTACCGCGTGCTCACACATATATATATAGTATCAGGTACACTATTTCTATAGTAATGAAGTGCCATCGTTTAGTAAGTAATTATTTACTGAAAGCATTATTAACGTCACAGCGCGACGGACTATTTTCAGCACAGCTTACCAATAAGTTCAAAGCATTCATGAACACCGCAGGTAGATAATCAAATTTGTATCGTGACGGGAACCGGTACCGACTGCGGCAGAGCATCTGATGATTTCTTAAAATGCATTATGTTGGGAACCTCTCAGGTTGAGATGGCGGGGAACATGTCGTTTGCAGTAGCCATGGAACAGTGGAGCACGCAACATTGTACGTTCACTCTTGAAACGTGTTTTAAAAGTGGCGACTCTGTCGTTGAAACGCAGCGAATATTTCGCTTGCATTTCAATACTGCTCCTCACGGAAAAGTGTCTTGGCGATATACCGTACAGTTATGGGTACAAAATTTCATAACAAGTGTTTCCACATTAAAAAAGAAACCACCAGGCAGTGTGCGTCAGTGTGATCGCCACCGAATATTGAGGCTATGAGGCAGTTGTTCATAAAGAGACCTAGGCGTTCAGCCTGGAGATATTCTGCTACTCCAGCAATACCCGGTCACAGCGTGAGGAGAATTTTACAGCAAGGATCTAAATTTGCATCCGTACAAAATGGTGATGCTGCCAGAGTTAGGCGATCGTAGCTCGGCAAACCGTTACACGGTAGCCGAGGGTTTAATCGGAATTGTGGCCGAGGATGTCATTATCCTTATGACAGTTGAAGCACACTTCCGCTTATCTGGCTCTGTCAACAAAAAAAATTTCGCTGTTGGGCAGAGGAAAATCCACAGCGGCTTCATCAACGGCCTCTTCACAGCGCACGTGTGACTGGTGTGGAGTGACAAACTTCGGAGTCATAGGCCCTTATTTCTTTGAAGACGAAGATGGATGTGCCCCTACAGTCACATGTTACGTCGTTATGTTATGTCACATGTCGTTATGTTGAAACGTTACGGAACTTCCTCACACCAGAAATAAGTCGTCCCGGAACCGAGCTCTTAACCATACGGTTCCAGCAAGAAGGTGCAACTGTCCGTATAGCGAGAGGTCGTTCGGGAAATGTTTCTGGAGTACGTTACTTCACTGCGCGACGAACTTCCATGGCCTGCAAGTTCTCATGATCACTCTGCCTGTGATTATTTCCCTTGGGGCTACCTCAAAGCTAAAGTGTACACCACTAGACCACTGGCCATCGACGACCTCAAGATCTCAATTCGGAGGCCAATTTCAGCGATATCAGAAAACACGGCAAGGCGAACACGGGGAAATCTGCAAGCAATTTTGGAAAAGTGTGTACGCAGTGATGCGCAACATCGTAGTGATGTGCTGTTCAAAACGAAATAAACAGAAACGTAATTAAATGTATGTTGAATAAAATGCCATTCAATATTCATTACTTCTGTAACAATAAATTAAAAATTAAAGTAAAATTTCACTGCTTTATATACTTTTGAAAATCTTCAGGTTCCTTTGCCGCTCGGTAAAATAAAAATTTCCTTTCACACAACCCAGTAATTCAATATTCCCCACTCCTCCGCATGATTTCTGCGTAGTTAGTCCACCCTTAGACACGGCGCCATTAACAGTATTTAGCAGTGCAAATGCCTAGAATGTCCTTGTGACATCCAGACTTGGCTGCTCTGTTCTGGTAGAATCCACTGTGCCGTTCATTGTTCACAATACGCCATTGCTAACACTAATGACGTTGACAGAAAGTTGGATTCCACGTTTATTATGGTTTAAATTATGCTATAGTTGGCCTACGTGGCAAACGGGGTGACTGTGTCCCTCCATGTCTGCAAACCGTAAAACTCCATGACCGAACACACAGTTTCATCCAAGGACTGTGTTCACTCTTTCAGTCACAGTAATAAGAGTATTCTACCTGATATCTTATGGAGAATGTTCTGAGAACACCATTACTTCGTTTCACTACCCTACCCGCTGACTCTGAATTCAACTTTTTTCCGCGCACATCGTGCCCAATTTATCTGGCTCGAATTATGAGAGTATTTTCGAATGGCTTCCAAACCACTGGTTGTAGCAACCATTGGTTTTCAGGAACATTCAGAATGATGAATTATCTGTCTTCCTCTATCTACATGTGTTTCTGTTGGCAGGTGGTTTAAGCTTCTATTGAATTACTATGGCGTTACCCCTACACTAACGTGACTGACTGAAAGTTGTGGTTCTTCTCTAGTGGACTGTTCCCTCAGTCCAACAGATAAATTGTCTGACACCATGTCAAGTGACTTCTGCTATATATCCTTCCTGATGAGACATTCGTCATGATATTGTGTCACCCGAGTGACGTAATCACGGACTGGACGTTTGTTCTTCGACTTTATTGCTGCGTGATTTCATCATCATAGTTTTGTTTCATTCAATGCAGAGGGAATATTCCCATTCTTCTGTGCTAATGATTATTCTTCCTTACCGAGTGCCCAGACATCGATACGGCTGTCGTAAGTCCTGTCCATCTCCTTGAGGCCACTGGCGACTACTTCGGGCGCCATCCAGCCCGGGGACCCGAGGCAAGTGCTACGCTTATCACACGTGCTCTCCAGTAACCTGCAAAATCATGCAGCATCCGTTTTCAGTTCGCTTCAGAATGTTCTAGAACAGTGGTTCTCAACGGGAGCCGTGCCGTATTTCGGATTGATTAAAGTAAAAAAAAAAAAAAAAAAATGG